ACTTTGACTCAAGGCTTTGACTCAAGACTTTGACTCAAGGCTTTGACTCAAGACTTTGACTCAAGGCTTTGACTCAAGACTTTGACTCAAGGTTTCGACTCAAGACTTTGACTCAAGACTTTGACTCAAGACTTTGACTCAAGACTTTGACCCAAGACTTTGACTCAAGGCTTTGACTCAAGACTTTGACTCAAGGTTTTGACTCAAGGCTTTGACTCAAGACTTTGGCTCAAGACTTTGACCCAAGACTTTGACCCAAGGCTTTGACTCAAGACTTTGACTCAAGACTTTGACTCAAGGCTTTGACTCAAGGCTTTGACCCAAGGCTTTGACTCAAGACTTTGACTCAAGACTTTGACTCAAGACTTTGACTCAAGGCTTTGACTCAAGGCTTTGACCCAAAACTTTGACTCAAGGTTTCGACTTAAGACTTTTGAAAAGACCTGATTCACGTAAAGCCGTGTTTTTTAAGGGGAGTTGCCACGTGAAAGAGTCTTCAAAAATGGAGAGGTAGCAGCAAAGAATAGCAACAGATCTCAGCTGAAATAATCTTATTTTTAAATAAAATTATCTTTGACCCCACACTGCATGGAAATTTCCATTTTACTCTCTTATTTTAAAACACTTAGTGATTAAGTGTGTCTTGCCAAAGAGTATTTCTGTAATAATCCCGTTGAAGAATTAACTTCTGTTTTAAGTATCAATAGAAGAAAGTTGTGTAGAGTGTTTGTAAAAAGGAAATAAGAAATATTTCTAGGTTGCTGTGTGATCATGTTGGAGTAGTGGATGAGATATGTGACTCCCGCACGGCAGKAGTGAGTTCGAATCTCGGCTGGATTTTATTTTATTTACTTATTTTTTACATATAATCTGTAGCAAAATGCTATGATTAATAAAAACAATACAGATAATTACTAGACTTTTATTTACAGGTAATATTTAGGTAAGCAAAGCAATAATTATGAACAATAAGCTCCATGTTTATATAAATAAGATCAGAGGTGCTTCACAGAGCAGCACCTGTCTTCATCACATACAGTATTTTGTGAAGCCACAGCCACATTTTACTGTAGTATTTTATTATTGTTCTTAAAGTAAACAGTCAGAATGTTGAAGATGTGTGTAGAAGCTTTATTATACAGAACAGAGGCTGGTTGGGTCATGAAACACCTCGTCCGTCATTGTTTCATGCAGCTGTAATGTTAAAGCTTGGCCAGCAGATGGAGCAACACTTAAATGTATCAAATGATTCGAAACACTGAGTCATTTCAGCACAATAGATTCAGTGATTCAGAAAGCCTCGGTTTATCCATCACTAATATTTAGACCTACAGAGTGTAAAATAATATTATAAATGTCCTAGTGGTTCCCAATCCTGGTCCTCAAGTACCATTATTCAGCATGTTTGACTTGTTTCCCTGCTTATCAGCAGGTCTTCAGAAGATTGTTAATCCCTCTTCATTCAAACCAGGTGTGTCAAATCAGAGAAACATCTAAAAATCACTGCTTTACATGTTGACCAACACCTGAAGAGCTTCTCTGAGCTTCATGAGACATTTTCAAAATATAATATTGACTTAGTTTTATGTTTTTTTGTATTGCCTCTGGAGGGCATTGATTCTTTATTTGTAAATAATAAATCAGATAACATGTATTAAAGCAGTGATTCTCAACCCTGGTCCTCAAGGACTCCTGTTCTGCATGTTTAGATGTTTCCCTGATTTGACAGACCTGGTCTGAATGACAGTGATTAACAATCTTCTGAAGACCTGCTGAAGTAAAACATGCTGGATAGGGGATCTGTAGGACCAGGGTTGGGAACCATGACGTTTCATCCTATAACAGGTATACAGAGAACATTTTCTAAGTGACAGCTAAATATTTATTATTTTTTATGACAGTAAGAAGAAATAATAAATATACTTTATTACAGCTGAAGTCATCATTTTTCAACTAGCTAAAGTCTAAGTTACAGGCTGACTTCAGGTCTGCTTTAGATCATTGTTACTTATAAATGATATATTTTTCTGGTATAAATCTGCTGTTTTACATGATTGTTGAATGAAATGAACATAATTATTAATTAATTGTAAAAACATGACAGATAATGTGTGAAACAGATCCAGTTCAGCTGTGAGCTGTTGTCCTGTTTGGTTTCTGCTCCTCCATGATGTCAGACCAGTGGACAGGATGGGCGGGGCTCAGTCTGGTGATCTTTATTCAAGTCTATGGGTCTGACCTGGACTTTGTCTCTAAACTAGACCTTTTTCAGAACCAAGTGTTGTGTTAACGCTTTGTGTCTGTTGTAGATCTGTCTGAGAGCAGCAGCACACCAGACTTACCCTTGACTTCTCCACAGTCCAGACCACAGACTCCAGTCCCAGGTGGGTCATCATGGACTCATGAATCCATCTGGACTGTGGTTTTAGAAGGTGTTTTATCATTTGTTGTCTCTGTCGGTCCTTCAGTTCCTGCTCCTCCCAGGAAGGGTCGCTGTCAGCCCTGGTCCTCTGCAGAGAAAGAAGCCATCTGGAGGCAGCTTGGAGACCACGTCCTGGTCCAGTCGGTACCGGGGAAGGAAGTCTGTCAGCGTTGTCTGGACCTAGAGCCAGCCCTCAAAGGGAGACACTGGAAGGATGTGAAGAACCAGGTCTACAACCAGATCCAGAGCCAGAAGAAGCAGCAGTTCCATGCCCAGGTGGAGCTGGAGGAGAACCCACAACAACAAACTCAGAACCAGAACCAGGAGAAGCAGCAGCAGCTTCTGCCACATGAACCCCAAATGAATCAACAGAGCCAAGAACCCTCTGAGYACCAGAAGAAACAAGTGTACCAGACCCAGATGGATCTGCACAATCAGGACGACGCTCAGGACCAGAAGAGACCACCGTGTCAGGTCCAGATGAACCACCAGATCCAGGACCAGTCCACACCGAGTGTCTCAGCCTACAGACCCGTCGGACCGCTCCGAGCTCCAGATCACTCCCTGCTGGACTGGGAACCTATTGTTGTACCGTACCCTGTTCTGGATAGACCCCCAGGACCTGACATGGACCCACTCCTGACCAGAACGGACTGGACTAATGAAGCGTTGCCACAGAGCTACCCTATCAGAGCACTGGTCCAGAACCACCTACAGGAAGTGACACCAGGAGGTCCAGTGCCCGGTCCACACCCAGAACACATCCACTTCTGATGGACCAGAGTCCAGCTGGGCCTGGCAGGCCTGAGTTCTCCTGACTCAGAGACCAGCAACAAACAGAACCCGTTGTCTGCAGGGAGATGTTCAGATGATTGTGAGGGTTGATCCGGTCCGTTGTAACAACTGTACAGCTTTTAGAAAACACATTTCCTCTGATGGTGTTCTACAGGCTGTAATAATTCCACACACATCACAAACGTCCCTCAGCACAACTCTGCCTGTTTGGACCTCTCTTCTTCTTGGCAGAACCGAATGAGCACTTAGTTGTTAAGATCTGATAAATATGAATAAATCAAGAACCCTAAATAATATGTCACCCATCACATCGAAAACAGGATCAAGTCAAATTAGGTCAAAATGACCTCGTCATATTTTCTGATTCTTGGCTTTAAAAGCTACATTTTGACACCTGATATTTAATTTGTCTTGTTGGTTACAATAATACAGAAATATTTGGTCTAAATCCTAACTTTATGTAATTTTAATGAGGATTTTTTTATGTCATTTGAGAAAAGAAACCTCAAATATTATTTGAATATTGAGATTTCCCAGCTGGAAAGAAACTAAAGCGTTGCTAGCTCCCAGGGAAAATCTCAACATTTTAAGGCGTTTTTCCTCAAAAAACTGGTTTTTGGTTGCCAGTGGTGGACAACACTAATTCAAAAATTAGCTCTACAAGTTCTAAAGCGTTTATAAAAATATTTAGGTCCGCAACTTCAAAAGCACTTATGTCATTGAAATATTAGAAGAAGCTAATTTTAAAGCGCAGGTTCTATTTGACACTTACTAGCTGACAATAGTTCATGTATAATATGTGCACAACACTGCTGAGTAGTGGTGTATGAACTCTTTTACAGCTTAATTAACATCCACCGATAGCTGAGGATGTGATTTCCCGAAGCAGACCTTTAGCTCCTGGTGTAAAAATTAAAAAGTTGTTGAGGAT